TGAAAGTTATGTGTTGGTTGTAATAAACACACACATATCTTCACTATCAAACCATGGCTCCTTCAGTGTAAATCCATCACTCAAGTATTTGCTACATTCTTTAGTGACCTTCATTGGAGAGCACATCACGTAAGTTGTCAAGAGTATGGAACAGTCTTTGTTTGTTTACTACACCATTCTGTGTTATTGTACTATAAACATGAACAATGTAAACTAATGGATTAAAAGTTAAGGAAGCCACTTCTGACAGACTGCAAACATATTAAAATTTAATGGTCTAGATGAACTAGCATCTGTATGTACTTTATGAATATTTATTAACTCCACAGAGCTATTGTCATGTAGAAGCTGATGGTCACTCAAATGGTCAGGAAGTTTTGTTTCATATTCACAATGATCCACTGCCAGACCCTATCATGGGTAGTTGAATGTAGTTTACACCTTACTCCATAATTTTTAAAACATTTTTTTCCTATCTATGCCTATTTCTTCAAAGTGATCTCTTTTCTTCATGTTTTCTACCCACTAGTTTGTGTGCTATTTTAATCTGTCCCATTTGTGCTTCCTGTAGTATCCATCTCATCCTTGATTTAATTATCCTAATTATATTAAGTTAAAATTGAAAATTTTCAAAGTTCTTCATTATATAAAGCCTCTTGTTATTTCTGCTTTCTTAGTTTCAGATACTCTTCTCAGCAATTTTTTCTTAAAACACCTTCAGTCAGCTTTCCTCCCTTAGGGTAAGATATTCACACCATGCTAAACAGTAAGAGAAAATATAGTTCAAATTAATTGTTACTATTTAATGTATTGTAGGAAATGTCCAGATGATAGTGAGCTTCGAAAGCGAGCAGTAGATGTGTTGGTACCATTGACACTGGATGCATGCAGTGAACACCTACACAGTGTTGTTTTGCGTACATTAGAGCGTGTGATTGGTGATCCTGAAACTGATGAACACCAGAAGAGAGTCTATTACAATGTGTTAGAACGTACATACTACTTGCTCCGCAGTTTCACAGCTCAGACCTCTAATCAGTACTTGTGAGTAGAACTTTGTACCACTTTACAAACATCTTAAGATCCTATATGCATCTTTTGCGTTGTGTACGAATATGGATATATGTTACTATTATTGGATGACCTGGTCAGTAACCAGTGTTGAAACTCTTTAAATGCTAGATATAAATTCTGTAGTTCTTTGTTTCTTGGCCTTCTTTTGTTAAAATGGCTGTATTTTAATAATTTTTGTAATTTTCTGCATGTTTCACAGTTCTAAAATTTAATGTAAATTTAGGTTGTGAAAATTGTGTAAAGATTCGTAGAAGTGATTGGGTAATACAAGAAAGATTCATCTTTAATTGATTTGAAATAAAAATACTATTTGTGTTTTTTTTGTGTCTTATAAATTCTCCACAGAAGAACATTTTCGAACAGGTGTATCAGTGTATATTCAAACTTATAAACTTAAGAAAAATATTTTCTGAGAACCACGGGAATAGTGGCTTATAATTTGCTTTATATACCTCCCTAAACTAGTGTTGCTGTGGATGAAAAAGTACTGCTTGAATGCATCAAGTTCATGGAAACATTGTTGGATAAGCCAGCTGGTCGGCTAGCATTGGATCAGTTCTTCAACCAGGAGACTGGACGTGACCTAGTTACTGTGCTGCTCTCAGTAGCGACTCCTCAAGGCTCTCTGTCAACACAGTACAGCACTAAAGTGCTGCATTTTTTCAATAAACTCTTTAGCACAGGTGGGTGTTCTTTATTAAATGTTTGTTAATGTAAGGGTATGAAATTAAAATTCATGCACTAAACAAGGAAATAATTATGATTCAATTATTTTAATATATTCAGAGTTAATAAAAAAGTGTGCTATATAGTTGATTTTAGGTTTTGTTTTATGTAGTGTGTGTGATCCTAGCCCAGTTATCACATTTTTATTTTATCCATTTGTTTTCTTCTGTTTAATGCTGAAATTTGTCTTCTCTAAGAAGAGCTTTAAATTGGAATATCATTATATTAATAGTTAGGGTTGTGGTTTTCTGGATTGTGATGGCATAGTTTCATAACCCTGAGGACCACAATTGAAATTTTTACTACCATCGAAACCTCCAATCTCATTTATTATAGTTATTTTCTGGGTACTGATGAATTTCAGGCCCATCAGTATTTTAATTAATGTCATAGTTATATCTTTGTTGTGTTCTTCATTGTGCATGTATGGCTAATTTACAAACTAGAGAAGACATTGTCACACAGGTTGCATTGAAGCTGATTAACTTTCGAGTATAAAGCAGTAGCCATATAAATGCATTTATATGGATCTGAATGTTAAATATTAACCCTTTGAAGCTGAAGGCCATGTAAATAACATTTAATTATTCATTCCATACTTGAAAGAAATCAGCACTTCTGTATTACAAAGACCAGTTGGTTAATGCTGTTAAGGAAGTAATCACTGTTATTCTGAGAATCATGCTGAACCCTAAATATAGTATGGGCAGAACCCAGAATTATTTATTACTAAAACAGGTGCTACACATAGTTACCACTGAGCTTTAAAGAGTTGATGAAAGAACAAAGTAAATATTTTTCTTCATATATGTAATGAAGATGTCTGATAAGAACTGAGAATAGCAGATTTCAGTACATTGATTAAAACTATCGAAAGAATCAATACAAACATAAGGGTATAAGGTGTCAAAGATATCTAACATAAGGGGTGGGGGGGACATTTCTAATGTTTATTACAGGAATAGGCAAAGAGCTGAATTCATGATGTTTATGATGATGATAAAATTCAGAAATTCACTACTCGTGGTTGATCTGCATGTTTTCTTTGACTAAGTATACAGACTGTAACGTGCTGTCTGTAGTAGTATGCCAGTTGGTTAATAGTTTTCTATTTTGATTATTAAAGGGTTTTTAATCATATGGACTCTGCCCATTATTTCAACCAGTTTATCACTTTTTATGATTTATATTTGTTATTATTTGTACCTTTCCATAGCTGAGAAGACACCAGGTGATAGCAGTTTGGAGCATCTGTGTGGGTCTTTATCTAGACTTGCTACTGTAGAACCAGCAATACTGCAGAATTGGCTGCGTCATGTTATCCTTGGTGGTACATCTCCAACTGCCAGTTTGCCAACACCAACAGCCACACTAGAGCCTGCTTCTCCACAACAGTCAGAATCCTCAACCAATGCAGCAACTCCTACTGGAAGTGCTTCTGCACCACCACCTCCGCCACTACCAGCTGCAGCAACAGCAGCAGTAAATGGAAAATCAGACACTGGTACTCAAATAGCAAGTTCAGAGTCAAACAGTAGCAGTCACAGTCCTACTGAAGAGCACCAGGGTCTTTTACAAGAGAACCATTTGTTGCTGCAGGGCCTCACAGCATATATTGTTAAGGAGAATAGGTAAGGGAAGTGAAATTGCATTAGTTTCTTATTTTGTTTGGAATTTATTGTTTTGGGCATGAAATCAAGAAGTTAATATCTAAACCGTGTAATTCTGATTTCTGGAATAAGCCATGTAGAGTTTCAGTCTTTAGGGCAAAGAAACTCCAGGTACAGAGACATTTGACACAAGACTGAGGATAACATACAAATTCTTTGCATAGTTTAAGGCCAGAAAGTTAGTGTATCTGGAAATGTTGTAAAAAATGTAAGACAAGTCTCAATTGAACTTCAAAATGAATACATTCTATAGAGATAGTATCATGTCTTGTTTCCCCTCTTCAGTAAGATTGTTCCCATTGTAAACAAATATGGTGCAATCTTCAAAGTAACTTTTCTTTCTTTTCTTCCTTCCTACCATCTTTCTTTTATTTATTTATTCCTCCCTGTCATGATGAGTTTGTATTCTTTTATCTGCCATAAGTACACATGAATTTTAGTTTTTGTAAAGGCACTCATGAATGGTGTCATGTTATGGTGTTATGTTGCAGCAATGTGAATGAGGAAGTGGCAGCTACAATACTGCGTGCTCTGATCCCAATTGCTTCACACATTCTTTCCCCTGCAGTTGAAGGAACTGGCTTTTCAGAGTTAATGGTTGTTATGGCTACACTTGCTGATGCTGGTTTAGGCAAGGGTCACGTACATCTATTTTCAGCTGCTACAGAGTGGCTTGAACTTTGGTAAGTGTTTGTGGAGTAGTTGGCATTAGAAAACATGGTGAAGTGATAAAGACCAAGCTCCATCCTAACAATTTAAACAGAGGTGATGGGTTCTTACTGAGCAAGTCTGAAGGCCTATTATTTATATCCTGAATAGAAGAAGGTTTTCTCCAAGGAGGCTGATTTGTAATTAGATGATGCAGAAAATGCCTGTTGGTTTTGCCATATCTGTATCTGTCCTCATGTAAGAACTCCTGAATTAATTTTCATGAAATTTGATATTGGACAGTTTCACTACAGGTTGTTGTCACTGCTCAGTTGTGGTTAAAGTTGAATAATGGCAGGTATTTTACGTGCATAATTACATATATTCCTGCATATGGAAGTTATTGGGTGGGAAGTCTCTGCATGAGGTATCTTAGCCAGCATCACAACCACATGGAAGACTCCCATGTGAATCCTGAGTGATGTCATCAACCAAACAAGTGAGGCGCTGGACAACACAGAATAAGATCATTGGGCTATTTCTTTTTCCTTGCTTCTGTTTGCGTGGCTTGATTGGTCTCTGATTGGTCAGTCTTCCTGTCCTCTGTGGCCAGATCCTCCATCTAACTCTATAACCCATGACTTTACTTCAGCCCTAAAGTATGAGATAACATGTTTCTCTGAAACATTGGTATACAACTAGAATATTGTAAGAATCCATGCAATCTTTGTGGTTCTTTTGTAATTTATACACAATGCAGAAACCAAAGACAGTATCTAATATATTACTGACACTTGCATGAAGTACAGTAAGAAACAGAAATTTATTATAGCTGATCCTAATAAAATAGTAATATGACTTGACACTGAACGTACTGTATCTTGTCCTAAGAAGTTCTCTGTCTTATTCCTCCATTTAATTATTGGTTATCTTTCATACAGTAAGCAGTATCTTACTCAGCCTCCTGTAGTTGAGAAATTAAGAGCTGGAGTGAGTACTGGGAAGCACTGTCTTGTGCTGGACTCTGCCTGTTACCTGCTTAACTACATTGGTGATGTGGTAACTGCGCTTTGTCCGTCGCCTCCAGGTCGAGCTATATCTCCTCCATGGGAAGGAGAGCTTCCACCAGAATTAGATTCTGACTGGACTGATGATTTAGGCCATGAAGATGATGAGAGCGGAGGAGAGGATTCGGTAAGTAGAGTAAGTGGTGTGTGCTATCTGATGATGTCATTGTCTTGACAAAATTAAATTTTGGATCTAAACTAATATATACTGAAAAAACATGTGGAAACCTTGCACAGTTTGTCATAATGTGATGTAACAAAGTAATATCCACAGCATTCAGGGAGTTAAGAGTGTTTATAGTTTTCCTTAGACACCCTGGGCAAATAATTAGGATAGTACCTTGGATAGGCTATGTCCTTGCTTCCTCTTTGGTGTTTTTCAGTTCACTGTACATAATCACTTATAATGCAACTAAGTAACCTCCGTAGTTGAAACAGTATTGTTTTATAACACAATCAAACATACTCGAGTATTAGAAAGAATAAAAATATGTCATTTCCCATACTGTTCTTATTTCGTAGTCATTCAAAGAGTGTATTAAAAAAGAGTGTCATTTATTATCTTCCTAAAAAACTGAAAATTTGATTATGATTTAATTGGCAAGTTTCAACTGAGCAGGCACCACAAAACAATTTATTTCCATGTAGATTAGTTACAGTATCTTATGCAGAGTGACTATGATTCATTAAAGATATCTGCTGATGTGCTTTGTTTTCTTACTTGAATTGTGCATCTCTAACAATTTTGTATAATAAAGCTGTCCCACTATACGCCATGTAGGCGCTTGGGGGAGAGGAGGTACAGCTTCTACTCATTCTTGACCTCGGCACTAGATGGGGGTGAGTGGTCAGTATCACGCCCCGGCCATGCTTTACCCCCGGGAAAGGACCCCGGTACCCATTGGATAGGAGGCTAACAATTTTGTATGGGCCTTCAATAATGTTGATTGAGAAGCCCGCAGGTTGATTCTTGCAGATGTATATTTTTAATGTTTCCTTTATTTTGAAGGTTCACATTTTATAATAGACCATTTATGCATTAACCAAATTGTGTTGTGCTTCTTAATTTCAGGATGAGGACAGTCTGTGTAACAAGCTTTGTACTTTCACAATAACACAGCGAGAATTTATGAACCAGCATTGGTACCACTGTCATACTTGCAAAATGGTAGATGGAGTTGGTGTATGCACAGTGTGTGCTCGTGTGTGTCATCGTGGACATGATATAACTTATGCCAAATATGGGAACTTCTTTTGTGATTGTGGAGCCAAAGATGATGGCACTTGTCAGGTATATGTTTGTGTGTTATTTTTGTTAATTCAGTAGCTTTTTGGAGCACACAGTTTAGTAGTTTACAGTATAAACTTGAAATTTTAAAATCCTATGTTGTCATGTGTAGTTCTTGCTGACCATCATCAGAATTCTTACTTATAAAAATATTTGAGGCATTGCAGCCATACATTTTTTGTATAGGCTCTTGTAAAACGAAGTTCTCAAAGCAGTGAGCAGCACATCACCCAAGCATTGTCTACCAATACACAAGGAACATTTGGTATGGAGCAGATGCTGCCAAGCTCTTTACGTCGTCGACCGTCATCTCCAGTCAATATTGATGCAAGTGAACGAGGCACACGGGACCAGCAGCGGCTTGCAACTTTAGCCAAACAACTTGGTAGGACTTGTGGTGGATAGAGTTTTAGAATACTCCTTGTCTTATTGCATGTTTCATTGATAATGGTGCAGTTATGCTGAATATTGTCTGTTGTGTGAGGAATGATTAATTTACTTTTAATGTCTGAAGAGTTGAATTTTCTTCCTATCTGTTAAGGTATTAGTGTGTAATTATATATCTGGTCTGTATAGAGAACTCAAGAGAGATTCTGATGAGCCATATCTCTGGAAGTTCAGTAATTGCATCACTTTTGGATTTGGTTAAAATACTGTTGCCTGCAGTGGAAGCATCATGCAAGCGCCATAGTCCTGTTGGGTGTCACCAACGAGCACAGACAGCTTTGCGTGAATTGCACACACTTGAGAAACGTTTTGAGAATACTGACCAACTTATGGTAAGGAAATGAAATATTCAGATTCACATTTATTTGTTTATCTTGTATACTTGGAATGTTTAAGCTTTCTGCTGGACTATTATAATTAAATATTCTTTCATCCTTCAAAAACTAGCTGGGCACATTAATGTTACTATCTTTTTTGGAAAAAAAAGTCATAGTCAGTAAATACAATGAATTAATCTTTCTTTTAAAGGTAATGTGATATTGAAACTTCATTGTAACTGAATTTAAATAAAACATTCTACATATTCAAATAATTACTGTTTACACTTGTGAGAAATAATACCCATGTGATTCTGTTTTTTTAATAAGAAGTAATTGTTTAATGTGAAATTTCATGTTTCAGGTCCCAACGCTGGGTTCACAGGAAGGTGCATTTGAGAATGTTCGCATGAATTACTCAGGTGATCAAGGCCAGACAATTCGACAGTTACTTTCAGCTCACATGATTCGCAGGGTGGCTATGTGTTGCCTGTCTTCTCCGCATGGAAAAAGGCAACACCTTGGTAAGAGAATGATTTCATTATGCTAAAGATTTTGCCGCTTTTTTACTTTTCTGAATTATTTCATGAAATTGGGATGGTTTCCTCTTTACAAATACAAAGTTCACTTTTCTTGTGTGTTTACTTTTTTTTGTTACTGTGCAGCTGTGTCACATGAAAAAGGAAAGATTACAGTTCTGCAGCTGAGTGCTTTGCTGAAACAAGCAGACTCATCCAAACGAAAGTTGACTTTAACTCGACTAGCCTCTGCACCAATACCTTTCACTGTACTATCCATCACTGGCAATCAGTGGAATGAGGACTTCCTGGCTGTCTGTGGTCTTAAGGTGAGTTTGTTAATAAGGTATTAGGCTAATTGATCTTAAAATTTTTCAGAGTGCCCGCAATTGTTATTGCTGTGAAATTCGACAGATTCATACGTTCTATCAATCTTTCTCTTTCTTGATTAATTTCAGTAATTATTGTTTCTTTTAAAACAGGATTGCCATGTATTGACATTCAGTACTAGTGGGTCAGTGGCAGATCATTTGGTTTTACACCCACAATTGGAAACGGGGAACTTCATTATCCGAGCCCTATGGCTTCCAGGCTCACAGACGCAGCTTGCACTCGTTACAGCAGACTTTGTGAAGATCTATGATTTGAGCTATGATGCTCTAAGTCCCCAGTACTTCTTCCTAGTGCCCAGTGGTAAGATTCGAGACTGCACATTTGTCTGCACAGAGGTATGTATGATACAGTTCCGAACAGGTTTATGCTCACTCTTAAAAGATATGACTGAAATGAAGGAAGGCTGCCGACTGTAACATCAGTCAGACTTAATATGATTTTGGTAGTTATTGGAACCAGTGTGCCTAAAGTGAAAAAGGTTAAGGTAAAATCAAATGAAATTCCAAATTGAAATGTGTGTAAGAACACTGAAAATGTCAGTTATAAAGTAAAGGTAAAGTTTGTCCCACTATACGCCATGTAGGCGTTTGGGGTGAGTGGAGGTATAGCTCCTCTCTTCCTTGACCCCGGCACTAGATGGGGGTGAGTGGTCAGCATCACGCCCCGGCCGGCTTTACCCCTGGGAAAGGACCCCCGGTACCCATTGTAGAGGAGGCTGGGTGGGCCCCAGAGCCGGTCTGGATGCAGAGACTAGAGGAAAAATCCTCTGCCCCGGTCGGGGATCGAACCCCGGTCGTCCAGCCCGTAGCTAGTCACTATACTGAGCTATCCCGGCTCATGAAAATGTCAGTTATAATAAGGAATTATTTCTGCATGGTTTACGATTTGCTCGATTTGTGAAATGATGTAGGGCTCCAGAAGTACAACTTATTGCTGCTAGCTACTTATTGAAATGAGGTTACCCATGTTTTGAGGTATATTTAGTATAAATATTTCATAAAAGATATTTGGAAATTTAATGTTAAGACGAAGGAGGCCAAGGCTCAACTTTGGGCTCTCGCGCCATAGAAGAAGAAGAATGTTAAGACCAGGAAACGAAAGCAAGAGATTATTTGACTTGCTTCTGCATCTTGAACATGACAATATTTTAATGCTCTTTATCATTACATGGAAATTGCATTTACACTATTAACATTATGAGTATAGTTTGGTTTACTTCAGGGCCTTTTATACCCTTCAGTATATATATTCATGGTTGCATGATAATACTTATTTGCTTAGGACAATGTCCTGTCCTGAAGCACCGTTCATGAATATAATAAATGAATTTCTCATTGATGATCTCAACTTTTATTCTGTTTGGTTCATTTGACTAAATGTTTACATATGAAATGCGATGAAATGCTTTATAGTAAAACATCTACAGTTTCATGTAGTTCAGACACAAATAGAACCTGTCCAAAATCACGTGCTTGTTAAATTCTAATAAGTTTTGATGTCGGTATAAAAGTCACAGAATGATAATTATGAGTAAAATGAATCTTAAAGTAATAGGATGTCAGGGTGTGAACTGGATTCATCTGGCTCAGGTAGTGATTTCTTGTTTACAGTAGTGAGTCTTCAGGTTCCATAAAAGGTGGGGAATATAGTGTTATACTATTATTGTGGATATTTTAAAAACAAAAGTTGTTATCATATAGATATGGTTTAATTTATTGTGCTTGTTACAGGATGCTAGCTCTCATATGTTATTGATGTCATCTGCTGGCCACATTTATAGCCAGGCAATGGATGAAGAAAGCTCAGCAAAACATGGACCCTTTTATGTCACTAATACACTTGAAGTTTATCATTCAGAAATAAAAGTAAGTGTTGCATTTGTTTTGTTTTTTATACAAACTTCTACATGACATGAAATTGCCTTGTCCCAGTTTTGAGATGTAAGTGGAAACATCAAAGGTCTTCAGATATGTTTTGTGCATTATTTGTTAATACCATAAAGTGCATACAAATGAAAAGAGACTAGAGGCTTATGTGTGTAGTGAATTAGTGTGGATATAAGGAAGTGACCATAAAAATTGCATAAAGAATAGCTAATTATCCAGCTGAAATTTGAATTGAGTATCTCTCAAATACAGTTTAAATGCACTAATACTATGCTGAACTATTTAGTGATATAAAGAGACAGAAATATAAAGTTATATGTACATGTTTTGACATCTTTTACAAGGTAAAGAACAAGCAGAAACAGTTCATTGTTGGGAGTTTTGTGTTTATTCTTTATGTGCATATTGTATTACAGCACCATTTTCTTGTTACATAGTGTTACATTTCTGTCATGAAGGAAATGCCAAATTGTGTAAATTGGTTCAAGGCTTCTCAACCCACAGTCTGCAGAGAGTATTTGGTAGTAACCCCAGTTCTATGAGTAGTTATTGCAACATAAAGGAGATTGAAAAGTCAAGAACTAGGATGGTTCAGCAACCCAGAAGAGAGTCGTTTTCAGACTGAAATATTGTTCACTGATTGATATGGAACTTGCTGAAAATAGCATGTACTACTTGGACTGTACTGTGAAGGAGATTGTAATGAAACTTTTGTTAGCTGAATATGCTGTTTATAGTTTGTGAATTTTTCAGGATGTGAATGGACAGGTTGGTGGTGGTGGTGTCTCAATCTATTATTCACATGCTCTTCAGCTCCTGTTCTTCAGCTACAGCCATGGAAAGAGTTTTATAGCTCCACTTAAGTACATGGACAGTGGGTTGCCTGCTGTCTTTATGATTAATCTAGGAAAGGCTGGAGGCAATGGAAATAAGGCAAACAATGCTCAGCCTCAGCCCTTGTGTCAGTGGAGCGAGGTACCAAATCATCCAGGACTTATTTGCAGTGTCATGCAGAGCAGTGAGTTTTACAGACTTCAGTTGTACAGTTTCATATTTTAATTGTCAGTGAACATTTTTACTTCATTTCTCAATGTATTAATAAAATTGAACAGGTGAACTCCAAAATGCATTAAGTCAGTTTTGTAGGTTTCATAATAATGGATCTCAAATTCTTTTCTGAGCCCCATTTATGTGAAAAAGGGAGAGTCCATATCATACTTAATCATGATGATGATGATGATGTAGAAACTTTCCTTTGTCAAGTATTCTATACACTTAAGCACAGGTGAATAGAACACCTCATGGGCTTACTTATTCACCTTTTCCTTCCATCCACTGATATTGCAGATGCTTTCCCCAATGGTAGAGCAGCCTGAGCATAAAACTGACTACTCACCTGCATCTGGTGCAGAGGTTAAGAATATGTAGAGCTTCATCTTTATGTCCCTTAAATTTTCATGGTATGATGTTTGATGAAACACAGATAAGACTATGTTGATACAAATGTACAGTAAACATTTTATTTTGTATACTTCAGGCAACAATCCAGTAATTCTAATGCTGAAGCCAGACACAGTGTTGATTCAGGAAATTAAGGTTGTACCTGCTAAAGCTAAGATCATGGACATGGTAGCCATCCGACACCCATCCTCTAACACTGACCAACGCACTACTCTCATCCTGCTGTGTGAAGATGGCAGCCTGAGGATCTATATGGCCGCAATGGAACAGACAGGTTTGCTTACGATACAAAACGATGTTCTAATAGATGTGACATTCATTCTCACAGATGTATTTGTAACTTCATAAATTTACATGAGAGGCAATACAGTGAAACCTCTATCCATCGTTCCCGGAACTATCGTTTTCCCGGATGCATCGTCCGTTTTGTTCGGTCCCGAATACATCCCATATAAAATAATGTTACATTTTCCCGCTTCTATCGTTCCTCGAACTATCGTTTTATCGCATCGATCCTTAAAAAATCTTAGTCCCAGCACACAATTTTCCCGCAATGATCGTTTCTGAGAAATTGTAACGAAATTTACGTGATATTTTTAGAATTTAATTCCGAAAGACGCACAATGTTTTTGGAATAAACAGTAGCGGTAACCTGTTATGTCGCCCAACCAGCACAGATTCTTTTGGAATGAGGGGT